TTTTTGAAGTCCTCACAAAAATTTATAAATATTTCTTTTTATATTTGGTGTTATTTATTTATTTTTTTTAACGATTTTTTAAGATTACACTTTCTTAAATAAGGGGAAACATTTTTTTTTGACACTGTCAAATTCTCGAATTTTGAGAGCCTTGAGCAAAAGTATAGGCTTTCAAATTCAGAAAAAAGGTGCGTTTCTTTATATTTTAGATTATAGTGTTTTATTTTATGGGTGATAGAATTTCTTGCAGTGCAAATGCTTACCACCCATTGCGGGTGGACCCGACTCGATTCGTTGGCTTAGTGGCATATTGCGCTGACACAGGAGCTTCTCTATTTGCCTGCTGGGTCGCCTTGCCTCTTGACCAGTTATCCTTCCAAGGACCTCCCCCAGAAGACCCGCCCCCTCGCCACACCCCCCCTTCCCACCCACCCATGTGTCAGGCAGTCAATCAGAGGTCCTGTAGATCCTGATTTACGCAGGTGGGCTGCCAAGGGCATTGTTGTTCCTGTGGCCAGGACATTTGATGTGGGACCCATATGTATCACGTATGTAGTTGCGTGTGTGTGACTGTGTGTGTGTGTGTGCTCGTTATGTAACCACCTTTATTTACATAGGCACTGGGCCGTGGTGGATGGAAATCTGATTTTTTCTGCGTGCCAGCCATAATGTGTTTGCCTGGACAAATATTTTGCGCAGTCTGTGGCTTAAGTTGGTCAATGGAGTGGAGTTGAGCAACTCCGAATGCGATGAGCTGACAGGACACATCTGCAATGTGGATTTTTCAGGGCGTTCGGATTTACAACATGCGAATTTAATTGAATGGAAGATAAAAAGTTTGATTGACTATACAATCTAACTTTAATTGTTCAATTCTTAACTAGTAGTTGTGGTGAAAAATATGAATTGATAATAAATACAGTAATACATATATTATTAAATGTATCCTTTTTGAGGATAACTACGCATCAAACATAGCCCAAAGACTATTATAAAATAAGTTTTAAAAGAAAAACGGGAAAGGAGGAATAGAAATAAATCTAAGATTTAAAATTGAACTTGCCTTCTTAAATGTTGCTCAATATTAACTGCTTTACATTTTATCAATTTAGAGAAAAAAATCAAACTTGGAAATAGTTATACAAAAACAAGAAAAGAAAGATTACTTCGGGCGGAGCCGATGTTGATATACCCTTGCAGAAGATTCTGTAAATAATATTCTCCAAAATTATTCATATGATGCATTCTTAATACTCATAAAAAATCACAACTTCCTAACTTTAAAAACACCAAAGTTATGGCATTTCCGATCGTTCAGTTATATGGCAGCTATAGGATATAATCGGCCGATCACGGCCGTTCGGACTTATATACTGCGTGCAAAGGAACTAAGGTTGTGTGGAAAGTTTCAATTCAATATCTTTAAAACTGAGAGACTAGGTTGCGTAGAAACATACAGACGGACAGACAGACGGACGGACAGACGAACATGCTTATATCAACTCAGGAGGCGATCCTGAGCAAGAATATATATACTTTATAGGGTCGGAGATCTTATAAAGGCTTTGAGTTTCATAACTATGCTTAAATATCTATTTATATCTACATATGCGAAATGTTTCAGCTTTATAGTGAAAAATGTATCTTTATTTCAAGTGAAACCCCCAATAAATCTTTTGCCATTTTCGCGCTTCGCTGATGGTTTTTAATTGCTACGGGTTTTGCCCAATCGATTTGGCATCGTTCTAAGCAGGTGGGCGAAGTTGTCCAGGAATCTCCAGGATTGGGATCCCATTGGGAGGGTGGAAAAACAACAAAGGCTCCGAGGGAAATCGCCAACTTGCATTTGTCGCCTCGCACGGGCAGAAATAAAAGGAGCTGGGAAAAAGGAGCAGGAGCAAAAGCTGTCGGTCTGCCAAGGCTCTTGTCGCAGGACTCGCGGTGCCGTCGTTTCCGAATGATATGATGCGTGCCTCATGTGTATCAGTACACATATATATATATACAATCTATATACATACGTACACTATATGCATATATTCATGTGTGATGTTCAGGTTGTTTTTTGGAGCGTGTGGCCGTGTTGTTGTTTTGACAACGGGCGAGACAAAAGGAGCAGGACACCAAGGACCATGGACCAGGGACCAGGGTCCTGGGACATCGGTGCGTGGCGAGTGGTTGGCGGGGAGCTGGGAATATTTAACAGGAAGAAACCAATAAAACCTAATGATATGAAAAAATGCAATTTTCTGAAACTCGAGCGAACGCTCACAAACACACGCAAAGCGAAAGGGGAGCGGAAGCACACATACTATGAAAGAAATGCGGGGCAGTGTGTGTCCTTAAGTCCCGTTTACACTACCGTTAACACTTTGAAAAATGATTGAAAAATGTTTAGGTATTGTAAAAAAAATTAGAAACAAATATATTAATCTAGAGCTTAATTGCTTTTAAAAATGGTTTTTATTTGTTAGGGTTTTACAACTATTTATTATACTACGAAAAATCTGCTTTCAAAATGTATTAGCTCTTCGAAACTAGTCTCAATTTTTATGAATTAAAAAAAACTTAAAGAATGGATTACAGAGTTTTAATATTGTATGTAATTAATATTAAAAGCAATGAAAGTAATAACTGACTCATTTATAAGGTATAATTTTTTATTATTTTTTTTATTATTTCATTACTTTTTTTTTGGTCTACACTCAAATAAACTAGTGCACAAAATGTAACATCTAATTTTTATTTTAAAGTTAAAAAATGTACTAGTTTGTAGTATTTTCGAATACAGTTTTCCTTTACAAACAGAGCTTAACTTTGATTTTCCGCTTCAAAAATCACAAACATCCAGAGCAGCGGCGTGTGTCTCTGGCCAAGTTGTCCTTCGTCCTTCGTCCTTTTCTTCGCCGCCTTGCCACCTCCTTGGAGCTGCTCCTTCGATTGTCCCCCGTTGTCATATGTGAAGTTCTCCTCGAGTTTGAGGATTTTATATTACCGAGGAAAAGCAAAAAATTGAAACGCGAACTTGGCTTCAAAAGGAATTTTCTGCGGTGGCGGTGGAGGGGGGTGGTATTCCTCGAATGATAGACAACGAGAAAACATAAACATGGCACCCAACACTTGTCCACTGGCCTGGCAAATGGATTGGGAAACCCCCTGGAAAAAGCACCCAACCCTGCCCAGGATCGCACATAAATGACAATGTATTACCGCTAAACGAAGGCGGGCAGCGGCCAGAAGATAGCAGACATGTAAGCAATTTTCCAAAGTACTTAGTCAGCAACTTTTACCCCTTTTCGCTGTGTGTTGGATGTGGAGTGTGGGATGTGGGATGGGAACTGGGAACCCCCGCCCTTTGACCTCTCCGGGGTGACCACACACATCCAAGGAAAAAAGCAGGAGACGGAGAGAGAGGGAATGAGCAAAGGCGCCCACGCATGGCTCGCTGGAGATACCGGGGGTTATGTTATGTCCTGTCACTGGCTACAAGGATAGCGATAAGCCAGCCACACCCCCAATTGCCTCCCCCCTCGGTCCACCGCCCTGCCATCCTGCAGCAAAACATTTTTTTCGCCAGCGGTTCGCATTTATTTATTTCCATTTTTTTAACACATATTAAGCCGCAAAAATATTGCCTGTCCTTTCCACTTCTTTTTTTTTTTTTTTTGGTGGTGGTCCAGAATTTGCAAAAGACGCAAAAAGTGCTGGAAAGAGAGGGGGCTAAATAGCTACACTAAAGAAAATAAAACCAACTTTTTAAATTTATATTGCACATTTATTTCCAATACTCCTTGGTTATAAAATAGTTTTTTAAAAGCACTCTGAAGAATTAGTATGGCAATAAAACTATTTTAGATATGAACAAAATTAAAATTAGTTATTATAAACACAATTCCATAAATATTTCAACATATTTGGGTCTTTTAATGTAGACATGTAGTATTTTATAAAGTAGTTTAATAGGTGTTTAAAAAACGGCAGCAAATAAGTGTGTGATTACCATTTAAATTATATAGTATTATTATAACTTTTTATGATGAATCATTGATGTAAATGAACTATATAGATTGCCACCATTCTAGAACATTTTTATTTTCTTTACCTTTTTCTTTACAATGTATTAAATAATTTTTCAATTATGTTCTAAATTATGTTTTGTTTTAACAAATTACTATTTATGTATGTATGATTTGGCATGGTAATGATACAATTTTAGATATTTTCTTTCTGTGTAAAAGGAGAGTGGCAAATGGGAACTGGGAAAACTCGAGCTGGTCGTCTAATTCAGTCGATAGCCATTCATTGGAAACTCTTGATTGATGCTCTGGCCTTGTCTGCTGTTCGTTGATAAGCGGCAAAGACTATGCGACTCTTAACCCCACACAGCCCTCGTCCATCACCCACCGCCACCCACAGCCTCAACATCCCCCCCTAACACCCCTCCCCCTGAAATGTAACCAGGCTGATTTTTACAATTGCTTGCGATTCAATTTTTCACTTTACATATTTCATGGATTAGACGACTTGAACGGTGGGTTTTCGGCAGGATGGGGAAGGGGGGATGGAGCGGATGTTGTTGCGATGGATATTGAAACTAGCATAAATGGAAATTCGTTTGCCGGGGGTTAAGAGATGGATGTGCCTTTGAACCTGCCCTTTTATTTATGGTTTTCAACTTGTATTTTTCATATTTAAAATATCAAATGCCTATTTTTGTATGTATTCGTTTATTTTTAAATTTATTTTAAATAACTAGTTTATTTTACAAGACGTTAATTGTAGAGTAAAAGGAATTTTATTTAAATTTTTACTATATTTAATTGGCCTAATATTTAAAAAGGAACGTTTTTCAAAATTGTTCTTATTTTTAATATTTTAATCTGCTAACCAGTCAAACTTCTAATAGCTTTCTGCCTTTTGAACATAGGATATTTTATATATTGTTAATACATTTAAGAGCCTAGACAAATCCCAACTCCCCGAGTAAAAAAACGTACAAATATGGCTCCTCTGAATTTATTTACATGATTCAAGTATCCCATTGATCGAAGCTTGCCGAGATACTGTTTGTCCGTCTATAGGCCCCGAAATGGTACGTCCTTAATAATGTATTCACCCACTCTTTGGAAACTTCGCTATGCCCGACTATTTTACGCAATTGAGTTCAAAAGATAAATTTAACATGAGTAACCATCAAAAACGGGGGACTTGAACCAATTTACAGACTGAAATATAGATGGGTTGTTACCCATTAATTGGACCTGAACAATTTCTAGTGGAAATGCTGATGCTGGTGTTTGCGACTTCGGGCATCCTCGAGTTTTTTGAGATACTTAGCGGCGATGGTGAGAATGGAGCCCTCGGCATCCGAGAAGTCATCATCGTCCTCCTCATCGAGGTCATTGCGATCCATACTGAGTGGTGGTAGATTGTTTAAGGGAGTGCTCTTCACCTGGGTCTCCCGATGGATGGGCATCACGGTGATTTTCTGGGCCTTGGTCCTCGATCTCTTGGCCAACTGATCTTCTGGGCTGGAAGGCAACGGCTCCTGCGATTGATGGCGTTTCTTGGATGGACGATGACGTTTGGTGCTTCGTCTCAGGGAACTGATAGACTCCACGGACTGGACTGCACCCTTAGAGTCCCTCTCCTTGTTGTCCTTGTGGTCCTTCTTGCTGTCCTTGTGGTCCTTCTTGTTGTCCTTCCTGGAGTCCTTGTTGTCCTTCCTGGAGTCCTTCTCCTTGCCGTCCCGTTGCCCGACGGAGGTACCTCTGCCTTGACCTTGCTGACTCAGTATCTTGGCCATCCGATCCTCCACCACCTGATCGATGGACCAACTCAGCTCCTTCAGCTTCTCATCCACCACTTCATTGACCGCCGTCCTAATGGCGGTGTATATCTCGTCCAGGTACTTCGACCTGGTGCATTCCGACTGAGATCTGGGCCGCAGCTTGTCCAAAACATCCTCGGTGATCAGCGCAAAACGCAGCTTTGTTGCCTTCGACATAATTACCAGAAAAGAGGATAAAACAAAAATATATTATTGTTCAATTTGTTTGGTGTGGCGAGAATTTTGCTTTGATTTTTGTTATTCTTAAAAATTTTTTTTTGAATAAAAATAGTGTTACTGAACCTCTCCGTTGCTTTCAGAGCTCTGATTTTGAGCTCCGAAGCGATCACAGCAAATTGACAGAAGGCATCGGCCAAAATTCAAGGACTACTGTTTGATATATATATTCTCGATTCATTTCGTACTGGCTCCGATTTGGTTTTGGAGTATGCCATGAGTGGTTTATTGTTTGGTTTCCTTTTATATTTGTTTTTGCCATGTTGACATGTGACAGGTCGAACGCATTGTTCGAGGAGGAAGACAAAGGACGAGTGATTTCAATTAGGAGAGTTGAATAAGTCAGAGTTTCTCTGACCGTGTGACATTTCCACTTCCACTTCCTCGTCCTTCCGTTTTTTGTTTTTTCCTTCGGCGAGTCCTTGCGCTGACATTTCTCCCTCCCTTTTGGGCACTTCCTTTTGTGGGCACTTCAGGATGCGGATCTTGGCAGGACTATCCCTTAACCCACGGATGCCAGATGTCAGGCCGGAATGAAAAATGATAATTTCCTGTACCTGGCCGGGATTAACGCGATTTACCCGAAAGGGTTACGCGATCGGAAGATGTCCCAATAACGTGTCCTGGCAAGGCCTCCAGGTAAAAAGCAACCTCCTTTGCCTACCTAATTCGCGGTAGGGGAGGTTTGGGCTGGGCCAACCCTTTTTTTTTGGGGTGGGGGTTAGGGAAGTGCCTACAAATTGCGCCAAGAGCGCATTTAACCCTCGGGATAGTCGAACATACCCGGGATAGGCAAATCCGCGAGTCATCCGGCCACATTCACAAGCCGATCGACAGCCGCCAAGATTGGACGTATGCGTTATCGTAATACTCGACACGGGCAATTATCGCCAGACACTCATCGCTATCGGTGCTCCTCGATCGGATTTGCGCTTTTCGAAGTCCTCGATCGGACGGAGCGATCCAGTCAAGTGGTCCGCCGGAGTGCCATCAATTAGCCAATTCGCATTGTTCCCGATCCCTGATCCCCTCGATGAAGATCGGAGATAAGGCCAATATGAGGTCTCAAGAGCTTTAGGGGTTTACCGGACTTGATTGTAAATAACATTGGATGTAATTGCTGTTCTTGTGATTTTCTAATTTAAAAAATTTACAATCTTACTAAAGTATCAATATTTAAAACAATATTGGTTTTTGGTTTTATTTTCAAGTAATAAGTTGTGTTATGTAAAAGGCCTTTTATAAATTGTAATTTCTATGAATGTTAAATGATACAAATAATTTTACTAAAGCTTTCTCTACATTTTTAATCAATTGGGTTAGTGACAAATCTAATCTAATTTATTTATCATAGTTAAAGTTAGAAATTTTATGTAGTTCATTTTAAAATTGTCTTCATGTTCAGATCCTTTATATATTCGTGGATAACGTATTTTAAATTTGTCAAAATGTTCGATTGTAATTATGTAAAATATTTGAATACGAATAGAGTTCAATGGAGCTGTTGAGAAATGACCAAGATGGATTCGCAGCTTTAAGTTCTCCTGGTAATGGGCCATTTATAGACTTCCAATGGCAAAAATTAGCCATTTAGCTGAAGGGGTGAAGTGAATGGGTGGAAGGAACAGCCCCCAATCTGAATTTCAGGAACTTGGGGACCCTTGATTGTCCTCGCTCCCCCCTTCCAGTGTGTTTTCCATGTCGTCCTGTTTGATATCGCAGCGCGGCATTTATAAATGTAATTGTGGAAATTCGCAGGATGGTGGTGGGCTGGTGGGTGTGGGCTTGTCCCTTTCCAAGGACACCGGCTTCATAGGGTTGAATGGCAAATGGCCGCTCCAGGTCCGTTCGATGTCCGGGGTCCAGGACTCTCGAGCTTTTTTGGTCGCTGCTAGCCATTAGGGGTGGACTTTTCGATTCCATTCGAAAACGTAACGATACGAAACGCAGCGCAGGACATCCAGGACCTGTCCAGGATATGGCCGGCCAAGCGGAGTGAGCGAGATGGGCGGACAGAGGTGAAGTGAAATATGTGCGATTTCAATCCAAGTCCACATCCACATCCACATCCACGAACAACTGCAAAACTGGCAGCCACTTCAGCTCCGTGGGCCGTCCATCACCAGGCCACCAACACTAACGGGCTGGTCGCACAATGTCCTTCGAGGGGGTGGTGGTGGGTCGAACATGGAGAAAAAGAGAGAGTCCAGTTTAGGCAGGGAAAACAATCACTTTCATTAGTAAAAAACGACTTACATTTATTCCAATAGTTCTGTTGGCAATCTAATAAAATAAAATTATAGGATAAAACGAAAATAATAGGATACAAATTTTACCTTTATTCAATATAATTTAAAATTATTTATAATTGACTTACATTTATTCCAATAGTTCTGTTACCAATATAATTTAAAAAAATTATAAGATACAAAAAAATAATAAGACACAAATTTTAACTTTTTGCAATATAATTTAAAACGATACAAATGAAGATTTATATATATCTTAACTTATGGCCTTAACTTAATTTGATCAACTTTGATTTCATTTTATTATTTATCCATCACATTTCTGTAAGGTAGAGCTTATTACAATACCCAAAATTTTAAACTTGAGTTTCTTTATCAAAGATATCATTTTGCAAAATAACATTTTTAAAAATCGATCATTTTGTACAATGCGCAATGAAAATCCATAGATGCTGTTACTTTAGTTTCTTTATCAAAGATTTGCTTTTGCAAAATAAAGTACTGCGAAATCGATGATCTTAAAAAATTCGTTAAAGTTTAAATCTCTTAATAATGGGTTTAATTTTCTTACTGTGTATCTCTGGATTCGCGTTTTAGCGCTCCAACAAAGGGGTCAATAAGAGGGGCTTTAACGACTGTGACTGCCCCACTGGCTTTTCCAAAACCCCCGCCCCTTTCTCACCCCTTTCGCACCCCCCCCCCCCCCGCTCCCGCTCCCGCTGTTTAGCCCTTTTGTGGACTGCGTTCGCATTCAACCCCCTCAGCAGATTGACTTTTATGTTGATAACTCTGATGTCGTTCTGTTCCCGCTGCCTCTCGACCACCCCCCACCCTATCCCACCCCCCTCCACACTCTTCAGTTGCCACCCCCACCCCTTTTTTGTTTGTATGTGTTGTACAAGTTGTCCACTACAGAAGAGAACTCGCCGTTGGCTTTCCACTCACCCCTCAAGTGGCCATTTTGAATTTTGGCCATTTCCCTTAGCGTTCCCCTTGGACACTGCCGCCCCCATTTCCACCCACTCCTCCCGCTTTTCGGCACTCCCACGCCACCCCCCCCACCCCAAAAATCCCTACTTATCCACCTCCTATCCCGCCTCAGGATCCTCCTTTTCCTTGTTGCCACTTCATTGATTGAGGTAACTTTGGGGGGCGACTTTAAGTCCTCTTGTTCAGCTGACCACCTTCAAGTGTATACTAACCAGAGGGAACGATTATAATCCACTTAAAGCTGCGAGAGGCTTGGGACTTATTTATATAAAACATTTACAAAAAAACTAATTTTTCTTAAATGGGAATTATAAAACTAACAATACACTTATCTCATTTTAAATATAAAGAGAAAAATCTCTCTGCAAGACATAATTAAGAAACAATAAGTAAAGTGTTTGGGCGGTAAAAGTATTTAATTGTATAAAAAATGTTATTTATATCATTTGAAAGTGATAAAATCTATAATTTCTTATATACAGAGATGTTTCTCTCCTTATGATTACAATATGGAATAACTCAAGGACCATTGTATAAGCATCCTTTTGGTCACTGCCCAACCCCTTGGAACTGTGTTCTTCTCCGCCATTTAAGTCGCTTGTCAGGTGTGGGTGGCAAATCCGAAAATTAGTTGCCTCCCCCAATAATACGGGTCTAAGCTGGCTCGCTCCACCTCACATACGTCTCTATTCGGTCCGGTTTTTGGTCCGCACTCTGGAAGTCCGGAGTGTGGACTTCGGTTTTATCCCTTCGACTTGACGATGTTTTTATGATGCCCAAGACAGGAGCTCGTGCTCGTTGTTCGCCTGGCCGTATTAAGACAAAAGGTTAAATTTAAATTTGAAATGATGAAGGGGTTGCTTCTCGGAGGGGGTTGGGGGAGGGGGGGTTGTTCGAGGCTCACAGGTTCGAGCATCACGTCCACATTCGCTGGCTGCGTGCTCCAAGCGCCCTGGCCATACATTGCAATATGGCTGCCCCTTCGGCTTACCAGAGCTCCTTCTCCCTGCCCCCTGCCCCTCCACCATCACCCATGACCCCTGACCCCTTAACCCCCGACCCCTTAACCCGCTCTGTGTCTGCAAGGAAAACGAAGAAGCTGCGGAGCATATTGTTGCCTCGGAATTGGATTGTTGGGTTAGGTGTAAGGTGTGGCAGATGGTGTGGATTTTCCTCTGACCGTGTGTGTGTCTGTGTGTTCTGGCCAAAACCCCCCCCTCATCCAAAGCCATCTGTGTGGGTGGTAAGTTGCTGAGTGGTTCGATGGCAAAAAGAAGCGAAGGAAACTCCTAGCCAAAGGCTGCAGACGTGGGCAGGATAACTCGGAGGGTTAAGGCGTTTGGCAGTAGCTAGTCGACATGAGCGTAGGCAACGTAGGGTTAAAGGGTTTTTTGGGGCGTTATTATATCAAATGGTTATAATGTTTTAATTTTCAACAAGCGTTTTAAAGTATATGAATTCAAATAATTACAAAGAAGTCTTGTTTGGAATATTCATTATCAAAGTAATTTACATTACAGTTTTACATTAGGTAGAGAGAATAAATTAAATTATTACATCTTATTTCGATATACGAAAATCTTTAAATGCATAAATAGCTCTAATATTGTGTTTATTAATTAATTATGCAAACATTAAAAATACATTATAGTTTTACATCATGTGAAGAAAAAAACTTGAATAGTGTGTTTAGTAATTAGTCAAAAAACCCTAAAATAATGTATGAAATAAAGTTTATTTAACCCCCATTGAAAGAACTTCAAATACGCCCCTGAAAACTGGGTATAGGTGGATTCGTCGTATGCTAATGGACATTCGAGATTTTGGTTTTGGGTATTTTGAGCAGTTCAGCTCCTGTTTAGT